GTATTATTGTAAGTTTATTTCTCAACTTATGTCTTGATTGCTATGCATGTATAATTTTTAATAACATTATTATTGTAAATATTAATATATGAGCCTACTTCGCTTTAGCATCCACAGAAATAAGTAAATCCACATAGATGGCTAAAAAAATACATGCGCGGCTTAGCTATCGGCCAGGATCACTATAACAATAGATATATAAGTAGCAATAATATACTGATATATTGTATATTTTTGTAATAAAACTAATATCAATTCAACATTTAATTTAGCGCTACATATATACACAAATACATAATCGATATAGTTAAAATACAGGATTAAACATGTAAATAAAAAATTTCTGATACATACATAAAACTAGAATAAACATAATTTTTTTATTAATTATAGTAATAATGATTATTATTTATAGCAATGATAATCCCTTTACATATTATATATATTCAAATAAATGTTCGTCACAAACGTAATTTTATAAGCAATCAATCACCACCAAAGTCACAACCACCAAAGTCTCCACCACCAAAGTCTCCACCACCAAAGTCTCCACCACCAAAGTCACAACCACCAAAGTCTCCACCACCAAAGTCACCACCAAAGTTTCCACCACCAAAGTCACCGCCACCAAAGTCACCACCACCAAAGTGTCCACCACCAAAGTCACCACCACCAAAGTTTCCACCACCAAAGTCCCCACCACCATGGTTTCCACCACTATAATTATCATAACCACAACTATCCAAAGCGTTGTTTAAAGAGCTCATGTCATACGCACCTCCCGAATCATTAGCGTTCTATTAATGCAAGATGTTAAATTGGAAAAAACAGAAATGTAAAAGCACGATATGTAAGAAAAATACGTACAAATTGATCATATCCATTATGATAACCTCCGTCTTGATTATAGTTACTTAGAACATCGCTGTTTTGATAGCAATCACCACCTTGATAGCCACCATCTTGGTTGTGTTGATAACCACCTTGATTATCACCGCCTTGAAAGCCACCATCTTGGTTGTGTTGATAACCACCTTGATGGCCACCATTTTGGTCGGGTTGGTAGCCGTCTTGATTTTGGTTGGCACAGTAACCACTATCCTGATTGGCACTGTAATCACTATTTTGATTATGATCATTGTATCCACCTATCTCACTTTGAGCATTTATCGTATTCTGTGAATTTTCATTAACTCGATCCTGACTATCATGATGAGAACTTTCATGATTATTTTGGTGTGAAGTTTCGTGATTATTTTGGTGCGAAGTTTCATGATTACTTTGGTGAGAATTTCCATGATGACTTTGTTGAGAATTCTCATTATGTGAGTTAGAACAAATATCATTGTTTTCCGTTTTAATATGGACTACTCCCTCAATACTATTAGTTTTCTTTTTCTTCTTATTGTTATTGTTTCCCATTCCTACACCGTTGTTTTCTATTGCCATATCGTTATTTCCCGTCCCCATATTGTTGTTTCCCATTGCCATACCGTTATTTCCCATCCCCATATTGTTGTTTCCCATTGCCATACCGTTATTTCCCATCCCCATATTGTTGTTTCCCATTGCCATACCGTTATTTCCCATCCCCATATTGTTGTTCCCCATTGCTATACCGTTATTTCCCATCTTGTTATTTCCCATCCCCATACCGTTATTTCCCATTCCCATATTGTTGTTTCCCATCCCCATAACGTTATTTCCCATTCCCATATTGTTGTTTCCCATCCCCATACCGTTATTTCCCATTCCCATATTGTTGTTTCCCATTCCCATATTGTTGTTTCCCATTCCTATATTGTTGTTTCCCATTCCCATATTGTTGTTTCCCATTCCCATATTGTTATTTCCCATTCCTATATTGTTGTTTCCCATTCCCATACCATTATTTCCCATTCCTATACCATTATTTCCCATTCCCATATTGTTGTTTCCCATTCTCATACCGTTATTTCCCATTCCATTATTTCCCATTCCCATATTGTTGTTTCCTATTCCTCTACTGTTGTTTCCCACTCCCACAACATTGTTTCCCATTCCCATACGGTTGTTTCCCATTCCCATGTGGTTGTTTCCCATTCCCATATTATTGTTTCCCATTCCCATATTATTGTTTCCCATTCCCATATTATTGTTTCCCATTCCCACAACATTGTTTCCCATTCCCATACGGTTGTTTCCCATTCCCATTCCCATGTGGTTGTTTCCCATTCCCATATTATTGTTTCCCATTCCCATACCATTGTTTCCAGTATTACCAATTTTCATTTTACTAGCTTTGCTAAGAATATTCATAAATGAGTTAATACCTTTTTGAGATTTTTTTGTAATTTTATCCATTACAGGAAGTTTTTCCACGAAATGAACGTTTAAAGCATTTGTATGACCCACATGAAATTTTTCCTGTTTATTAGGATAACCTGGCTGATTAGGCATCATGCCTTGATTTCCATTAGCAAAATTTCCAGTCATTTGACCACCATTACCCATTTGATTAGGCATCATGCCTTGATTTCCATTACCAAAATTTCCAGTCATTTGACCACCATTACCCATTTTATTAGGCACCATGCCTTGATTTCCATTACCAAAATTTCCAGTCATTTGATTACCCATTTGATTATATTGTTGCGGTTGTTGAATACCATTATTATAAGCTGGAGGGTTAACATTAGTTATTACGGTTTTTTGCTGATGCTGAATTATTTGTTGTTGATATTGACCACCATTAACGAGTTGTGGTTGTTGATATTGACCACTATTAACGGCTTGTGGTTGTTGATATTGACCATTATTAACGACTTGTGGTTGTTGATATTGACCATTATTCACGACTTGTGGTTGTTGAGGTTGAGCGTAATGTTGATATTGTCCACCCATGGGAATATTGTTGACAGTATTCGGTTGTTGTTGTTGTTGTTGTTGATATTGTCCACCCATGGGAACAGCATTACCGACATTTTGTTGTTGCTGCTGATATTGTCCACTCATGGGACCAGCATTAATGATATTTTGGTGTTGCTGTTGATATTGTCCACCCATGGGATTAGCATTACCGATATTTTGTTGCTGCTGTTGTTGTTGAATACTTCTTGGTTGTTGATGCTGATCATCGACAGGAATTGCATTAAAGATATTTTGTTGTTGCTGTTGTGGTTGTTGTTGAATACTTCTTGATGATTCTTGATGTTGACCATCAGCAGGAATAGCATTAACGCTTGGTTGTTGATACTGTCCACCAGGAATAGTATTAACGTTTTGTTGTTTTTTAAATTGATCATTTACAACGGGGATATCCTTTTGGGGAACGGGAATAGGATTAACATTTTGTTGTTTTTTAAATTGATCATCTACAACGGGGATATCCTTTTGGGGGACTGGCATAACGATTTGTTGTTTTTGAAATTGATCATTTCCAATAGGGTTATCCTTTAGGGGGACGGGCATAGCAGTAATATTTTGTTGTGGTTGTTGGATACTTGGTGATTGTTGATACGGACTAACAGTAATAGGATTAACTGTTTCTTGTTTTTGCTGAAGTTGAACATTTCCTTGTTGGCGTGGATCATTCTATTTATTGTATATGATGAGAAACACATATATTTGAATCAAAAGTTTTTTTTTTAAAAAAAACGAGAATGAACTTACCCAAGTGGTTTGCTTATTTTTGATATCAATATCTACAATAATAATGTTATTAAAAATTATACATGCATAGCAATCAAGACATAAGTTGAGAAATAAACTTACAATAATAC